GAAGGAGGAAGGGAGAGAGGGGGAGGGAAGGAGGAAGGGAGAGAGGGGGGCAGAGAGCGGGGGAGGGAGTCGGCTGGTTGAGCAAGTTCATCTCGTATCGAGCGAAGGCTGTCTGCCTGCAGGGAAAGGCTTATAGTGCGCGCTGCCGTCGTAAAAAGGTAGATCTCTTGCCAAAATTTCGCCGGGATTTCTCGAAGCGACTGAGACTGAGAGTATAACGGATAGCAATATGTCGGAGGAAGAGCAGGTAGTAGCTGCCGGAGAGGTAAGTTGTCGAAACAGCTTTTTTTTAAAAATATATATCCAAGAGACGACTTCGAACTTTATTACAATGTGTGTGTGTGTGTGTGTTATGTTCGAATAGCATGAAGACAACCCGAAGAAGCAGATGGGCGGGACAGAATTCGAGTATTTCGTGTTGCTCTGAATCGTCTATCCATCGCTTTTTTACATTTTCGTTTAAGTAAGAGTTTTACCGCTCTTGTCACACAAAAAGGTCAAGAAATTGCTGTAAGTTAGAGGTGTTACTAGAGAGCAACATACAAAGAGCAGGAGGAGAGATAAGGGAGATGGATGTTTGACAGGACAGAAGGAGCAAACCACACCAGAGCCACCACCTATCCATCGCCTTGTGAATCATTTGTACAGACTCGTGATAAAAAGCTATGCCTTACTTTTGCGGTCGTTTTGCACATTATAAAGCCATCATGGTAGCCTTAAGGTTTTGAGTGGATGGTTAGTGGGTGTTCTGGCGTGGTTACTTCTTTCTTTCCTATCATTCATCATTCATCCATCATCCTTATCTCTCCTCCTCCTTTTTTCTTTGTTCATGTGTGTTACTCTCTAGAAACACCTTTAACGTTGGTTACTTGTATGACCTGTTTGCCTTAGAAATGCCGTAAAATGCGTACGAAAGCTACACGTATTTCTAAATCTGAGATAGATACGACCCTTCCCTGTGTGAACTACTATCCTAGGCGGAAGTCTCCAATGGGAGGTCCCATACTTCTGTCCTATCGATCGATCTGCCGTGTTCGTCTGTAGCCCGGTATTCCTGATATCCCCGAGCCTCACTGCGTCGATAATTAACCTCTGAGAAGGGAGAATAATGAGTTGGTGGGTGGCCACAGTCCAAAACATGTTTTTGTTAAAAATAGCAGTCTGCCCGAAATGTCTGACGATAATAGTAACAACAACAACAACAACAGCAACAACAATAACAACAACAACAACAACAACAACAACAACAACAACGACAACAGGAGTATAGTAGCTGTAGTACTACTACTACTACTACTACTACTACTACTACTACTACTACTACTACTACTAATAATAATAATAATAATAATAATAATAATAATAATAATAATTACATTTTTATTGCACATATCTACGCTCTACAGCAGGCTCTATGCCTAGCAATAAATGTCCTGACCAATACGTCTGTTGAGGCGAAAACTTCTCAAAGAGACATTGAATAAATAAGTTTAAGACGCGTTTCTTGTGATTTCTGCTATGGTCAACGAGACTAATTCTGACAGAGATGAGTTTGATTTTGAGCTTTTAAAGTTAAATTATGTGTAAAAGTAGTAAAAGCTTCAGTTCCACTTGCGAATGTGTGCAGCCTGTGCCATGGGTTTCCCCCTTTGCTAGTGCAACATCTACTGTCGCTCTCTTCTTTCTCCATATCGTCATTTTCATCGTGTGGGTCGTTGGTAGTCGGCAGGTACTCTGGTGTGCTTTGCCCTTTCTTTTCTATCAAAGATCTATTGTCTATATCGTTCCTTTTTTAAATATATTTCTTTGTGTGTTACTCACTACTCTCTAGTTACACCTCTGATCTTCGGCACTTATTTGACCTAATTCTGTAGTAAGTGCCGTAAAACACTTGCTAAGTTCAAGCCGAACGAAAGGTCTTCATCATCGGAAATCGTTACCGCTCCTCGGCTGCCATCAAACTCGTACAATCTTTGAAGACCCACGCAGAATGTTGCTAGATTGCTCTCTATCCTAGAATTACAAAGGTCTATCTGCTCAGTACCTAGTTTCGAGAAATGTGACGTCAAAAAAATTTAGGTTTCAATTCACGTCAAGTTTTTTCGAAAGCAATTCTTTGAATATCTTGATGACGACTCTGAATAATCTACGATTTTGATAGATCAGATAGAAGACCATTTGGTTTCTGACCTCGTGGTTGTAGTAATTCAAAAAAGCCCCAAAAAATGTGAGGTAGAACTTCGTAATTCTGAAGTAGCAAATGAACTCATCGTCACTGGACAAGGCTTAGGACGCACTGTTTTGGGACCCTTAATAAAAGAAACTTAATAACTTCATTATTCATGCAGATAGTTCAATTCTCTATTCTCTGTATCTGATACATAAAAACAGGCAAGAGCGAGCGTAGTATTAACTTACTTTTACTTTACTTGTTCCTTCCTCTGGTATCCTTAGGATGTCAAGGGGGGTGCAGGTTTCGGTCCTGTGCTAGATGCGTAGCGTCTGTGATAGATATGTTATGTTGTTCCGGTACCTTTTTAACCCCATCCAGCCAGGTCTTTCTTGGTCTTCCAAGTACATGCAGTATTAAATACATGTATATTGATTGTACAAATGTGTGTTTCTAACTTACATGTGATGTTCGAAATGATGTGTGGAAACAGTACCTTTGGTCAGTTGCTGATTGGACATACGTGTGTGTCTGATAGGCGTTGGGGGAATGAAAAGTAATTTATATTGATTGTTTTTTAACAGCAAGGACATTGATCTGACCAAAAATACTCAACAAATTAATGTTGTCTCTGTTTAGAGTCGATACGCGTCTACTCCACGACTTCAGTACTATAATATTATTATTGCGAGAGAAAAGATATTCGCCATGTGTTTATGAGTGAGTGTGTGTGTGTGTGTGTGTGTGTGTGTGTGTGTGTGTGTG